GGGAGGCCAGCAAAAAATTCCCATTTGACAGCATGAGGAAGACTTATGCTAGAAGAGCTACAGATAAGCAACTTGAGTCCCAATCATGCACTGTTCCTGGATGATTTGAGATCATCGTGGCAGTGTAGCTGATTTCCAGTAAAACTTAAACTTCAGTTTGTTTAATGTACAAATAGATCTGGAAAATTAATAGGAAGTCAGAGCACATGTCATCAGCCCAAACTCATTCAATATGCCAGGATAAAAAACTTAAGGCAAGAAGACAAGAAACAGGGTGATAAAGGTTTTTGTACCTCTCTTTCTCCCGCTCTCCAGGATCCAGAGCAAAACAAGATCTTCCAGTGGTTGGACGTCACATCTGAGCACGGAATTGTCCAGCTCTCCTTTCCACTAATCCCAGAGCCTATTCTGGGGTCCTACCACATCACTGTGGAGAAGAAGTCGGGTGAAAAAGAGTACCAGTCCTTCTGGGTGGAGGAATATGGTAAGCAAAGTCTGGGAACTGCCCTGCACCAGCAATGAGGCTGGCTCTGCCCGAGTCGGATAGGAGCTGCTAATGCAGAGTTTGTCCTTTGAGTTCTCCACTTCATGCCTGAGAAAGGAAGACAGAGAGAGAGCTGGGAGGAGAAAGTGAAGGCAAGAAGGGAAAAAAGAGATGCCGGGAAAGGCAGTATTTTCCAGGAATTAAATGGAGTCTAATACTTTTCTGGCCTTGGCACAAAGTCACTATGTGACTTTGGGATCCACATCCCATCACTCAGGCCTTACGATCCCCACCTGTTGAGAGGCAAAATGAATGAGTCCTGTTTTGTGGAGATGATCTCTGTGCGAAGGCTGAAACATGCACCTATTGTCTGTCAGACAGATTAAATGACGGGTACCAGATTGTTACTGGGGGAGGCTGGATAGCCGGTGAAGTGCAAGGTGGAAAACAGTGGGTAGTGGAGATGCCAAAGCCCTCATAGCAATCTTCTTAATCTTTGAAATAGACCATAGCAAGGGAGTTACTATATTCATTTTGATTTTACAAGTTTTCTCATCTTATAGTGGCAGATTCTCCTTAGCAATCCCCAGAGAAGGCTTGGACAACTCCCAGTTGTTTGTTTTTTTTTGTAAAGGCAGTAAAGCACCTTTCCTGCCTACCCTCCAGAGCTCTTTCAAACTTTCCAGTCTCCTACGTACAGGTGCACGAGGAGAAGGCCTTTTCCAGCGATGTTGTCGCTCTTGCTGGTGACCTGGGACAGAAGATAAGCTGAAAAAAGAGAGTGACAGTGGCTGGATTGCATAATGGCTTCTGTTCTTCGGGGCTTAACTAGTTTGAGACATCAGCATTACTCCCACCTTCCTCTTGAAGAAAATGTACAGCCAAGTGAAGTGATCTGTCCCAGTTCTTACTGTGGCTGTTACCACTACTAGTAGTAGTATTTTTACATTTTAACGAAGTTATTCATCGTGCTACTAAAGGCTATTTTTTTCTCCCATAACATCCTAAAGCCAACTCCTAGGTAGACTTTTCTCTGAACCATTTCCTCTCCCCTGTTGGTGAAAATGCCTTTGCCAACTGTTTTTTTCCTGTCTTGCACACGCACCTGCCTACGGCATGCGACTGCTCATGAGCCATGTTCCCGTTGCGTTCCCCAGTGCTGCCGAAATTCGAAGTGACAGCCAGCGTGCCGGAGAGGATCTCTTTCTTTGATGAAGAACTCAGGGTGAACGTTTGTGGTTCGTGAGTATCAGAGCTGAGAACGACAGACTTGTGCACAAGAAGCTCGGGATAGAGGATGGTGTGCCGCGCTGGGAAGCAGGGACTCTGCTGCTGATTCGGTGTATGGGTTTGAGTGATTCCTTTAGCTATGACTGCCATGACGTGAAATATGGTAACTCTCCTCCCACTACCTAGCAGAATTAGGCCTGGGACACTTTGTGTATGTCCAACAGTTTGAAGCTATCAAGAGGTACATACTTGCTAGCTGCTGTTTTTTTAATTACTACAGAAAAGAAGGGAAATGGTACAGAAGGAGAGTCTGTCATTAAGACTGCTGGCTGGGACACTGCCACACGCAGCGTGGCGTGAACCAAAGGGGTGAATAGGGATATTTCTGCAATACATCCTGCTTTGTGTGGGGCACTAACGAGAAAAAGCAAGCAGCAGGCAATGATAACCCAACTCTGAGCCCAGCGCCACTTTCCAGCTTCAGACCTTGAAGAATGACTACGCCAAGGCAATGGTGAAGCAGGCTTTTGTAACAAGAAGCCAGAAACAGCCTAAAAATAGTCGCAAGGAATCCTGCTAGGGCTGACTGGTCCTGACTCCCAACTGCTCTTCTGTGCTCTGGGCACTCCTGAGGGGTTTAGGGTCTTCATTGCTCTGCAGTCTTTGCAGGTTTCATGCTAAGTCCATGTGATTAGGTTCTTATGTCTCTTGCTCTCCTAGGTACACTTACGGCCAGCCGGTGCAAGGGAACGCCCAGATCAACGTGTGTCAGCAGCACTTCTATAGTCCACGATGCGAGCAAAAGCGGAAAGAAACCTGCAAAGCTGTCACTGGACTGGTATGATATGTGGCAAGGCTTTTTTCCCACTTGACTGCCCAATGCCTAGCAGCGTGTTCGGTGGCCTCATTCATTTCCTGGGGAACACCAGAGGGACAATCCCTGAGGCGTGTTTTTTCACACTGTCTCACAGGCAACACTGAAAGACGGTGAAGGTAGTTTTTACCAATGGTCTTATTAGGAGACTTTGTTTTTTCCCTCGGAAAGAGTCAGTAGGAGGGAGGAAAGCTTTTGAAACCATACGTTTGTGATCATTCCTGAAACACTGGAGCTGTGTTCTTACCAAGTGTAATCAGCAGATCTGTATGGAGAGTCTGTGAGGACACTTAATGTTCAACTAATGATCAATTTCTCTACTAGATCAGGCTCTAGTCTGCACTGATCGTAGAGCTAAGGCATCATGCCAGATGGGTTTGAGAAAGGACAGGAGCCTAGACAGGACTAGGGGGAATGAGGAGAGAGGTTTCCAGGTGCAAGGGTAGATGATATTGAAACAAGGAGCTGGGAAGGAAGCCAGGGAGTGAGAAGTGTAAGATAGGATGGGAGCGAGTAGAAAGTAGGAGCTGAAGATGTGAGCAAAGGCATGAAGATCTTCAGACACCCACTAATACAGTTTCAGGAGCAACTTTCCAAACCTTGAGAAAAATGGGCTTTCTTCTTTGCACTCCCATTTCAGCTGGGGAAGGATGGCTGCCTCAACACTGTCGTCTCCATCAAAACGTTCCAGCTCTACCGCAGCTATGGCAGGATGTACACCAGCCTCAACGTAGAAAGCATCGTCACCGAAAATGGGACAGGTAACACCAAGTGGAGGTTGGGAGTAACTGGTTAAAGCTAATAGGTGGTACTTTACAAGAGGAATCTCCTGGATCCTGATCTGTGCAGCAAAATCACCATTTTCTTCGTGTAGCTCTCCCGCCAGAGCATCACTGCCCCGTATTGCTTTTCAAAAGAAACAGTTTTCTGCCCCTGCCTGATTTCCGTTTCCTCCCTTTTATACTGGCTGTGTCTCGCAGGTATCCAGATGAAAGACAATGACTATGTTGCAGTCAACCAAGAAAATGACAGAATGATGTTCAAGAATATGGATCTCTATTACAAGAGGGGAATTCCTTACTATGGTGAGGTGGGTACCTGAGAGGATACCTTTAGATCACAACCCCCCGAGGTCCAGTATGATGATCTCTGTGTTGCCCCATTTATGGCTGGCTAACTCTTTGCTGACAACCTCCTGTGATAATGTCACACAACAGCGACAGCTACATAGTTCTCTCATTGTGTTAGATGGTCCTAAATAAGAAATTAGATGACATCTGGAGTGTTAGGTACCTCTTCTGCCATAATTGGAGAATACCTAAAAGGTGGTAAGCGCAAGGTCATGTGAGTGGGGAAGAAGAGTCTGCAAGAAACTACAGCAACAGCTGTGCCTAAACTGAAGGTAGATTGACTCTGTGTTGCATTGTACAGTCCCAGAGACTTTTAATCAAAGCGGTGTAGGTGTTGGAGAACATTCCAAGTTCTTACCAACCTGCACATGCGGGACAAACCCGGGCACAGAAAGGAGGATGAGCTGTACAGCATGGTCATGGTATGCAGTGGGGACAGAGGGTAGCACAGACACCCAGGAGCTGGGAGGTGCTGCTGAGCTCCACGGGTTACATGTGGCATGAAGTCAACTGATTGCTTTAGGTTTGTTAATTAGTGCCCTTCAAAGAGTATGTGCTCTGGAATCCCTTTGTGCCTATTTGCTCAGAAAGGGCGAGCATGAAATAAGAATTTAAATCATCATCTCTCACTCAGTAGTTTTCAGCTTATGTGATGGTGCACGGAGCTGGTAGTTACTCAAGTGAAACAGAGGACTTTGCATTAAAAGAATCTTTTATACCAGATCATGTGTATAAACAATTTGGTTTCCCTCTGTGACGTAGTTTGTCCTTGCACTGATGGGAATTTCTTGCCTTCGTCTGTCACAGAACTCTGGCTCTTGCAAAATATTGAGGAGCATTTGCCTCTTAAATACATTTCACTCTCGATTTCTGCTCCCTGCCATTACCCTCAACGTTTAGGTGAGCGTCCTCTGGTGAGCAGGGCATTCCCAGTCTGTTGTGGGTTCTTTTTCCTGAATCTCTTGGGTGTTCTTTGTGTTCAGATCGCTGTGACGAATATGGATGGCCAGCCTGTTGCTGATAGGACTGTCCTGCTGGAGCTCAACGAAAAATACCTGGCCAATTATACCACTGACAAGGACGGCACTGCTGCTTTTTCCATCGACACGTCTGACTTCTTCGATCCCAGTTTTAAGTTGAGAGTGAGTAAATACAGGGTTCAGTCTAATTCCTGAAAAAATCCTTCATTGGAGAGAGGATCTAGAAGCAGTCTGTGGGTGCTGGCAGGACTGTTTCAGATGAAGCAAGCAGGCAGGCAGTCCACCAACACCCACAGCCTTTGTGATACCAGTGTGAGAAGGCAGTAATGCCTGAGGGGTGGCAGACTGCGCCCCAAGAGTGTCTTCAGCACCTCCCTCCTTTTCCCTCTGCTCAGAAGCCCTTTACGCAGCCGCCTTCCTTTTCTCTGTTCTGTGCGCTGGAAGCCTTCCCCAGACTGCCCTGCCTCCCCCACCCAGCCTGCCTGCACCCCAGCTTCTTGCCCTGCTGCTGCCCGCTCCCCTACATTTCTGCTGGCAGGGGCTCATGCCTCTTACCATCGCATGGGCTTCTCGTGGTCTCCTGCCTTTTCTCTGGTGTGATGGGAGGAGCTGGGAACAAGAAGGCTGTTTGAGAGCAATGCCATTCGAACTCGCAGCCAGTCCTAGGAGTTTGTACAACCTGTCCCAAGCCTGCAAGAATCCAAAATAGCCTCCCTACTGCAAAGTGCCATAGGTGTCTGGATATACTGAGGTGTCCAGAAGGCCTCCTGCTCTGGACTGGTGAAGCACAAATCTTTCACACCAGCTTTTGCTCTTGGCTTAAACATCCCTGCAAAATCAGCTTCCCAACAGAATATTTTAGAAGGTTCCCCTTTCACCTGCCTGCCATTTTTTTTTTTTTTCCAATTTGTTGATTCTTCATATGTGACTCTTGTGCTTCATAGGTCAGGCAGGCACCAGATGACTGTGCAGACTTCTTCACCTGGGGGAACGATAATGAGCCCCAAGCCTTGTTCTTTGTCCGCCGTTTCTACTCACGGACCAACAGCTTTGTGAAAATCGAGCCGGTGAGGGAGAAGCTGAGCTGTGGCCAGCAGCAAACGGTCAATGTTCACTATGTCCTGAACAGAGAGGGCTACAGGAATTCCAACCACACCAACTTCTACTATGTGGTAGGTACTAACATGACTACCAAAACGTCTCTTTTCTTTCACCTTCTCTTGAACACACTATAAGGCAGAAATCTCCAGGCCAAACAGTGGTTACAGATCACAGCTTGACTTGGTGGCCTTTGAAGCCTCTCAGAACACTCTTTAAAAGCAGTGATTTCATGAGGGAAGGGAGGAGGTGGTTTTGATCTTGTCTCATAAGTTTTTTTTTTTTTATGCCCAGGTGATGACAAAAGGAAAAATTATTCTCAGTGGCCAGAAGCAAGTCAGCATCTCTGGTGGTAAGTTCTAGGCCATGTGATATGTCTGAGCATTGTGCTGAGCACCAGCACATCAGTAAGTTTGGTAGGAAGGAATGAAAGCAGAGAGCTGCAGCTGGATCAGGCATTAGCTTATGAACTCCCTGACCTGTCACCGCTCACGGTGTCGTTTGCTTTTGCTGCAGTATCCAGCCGCTCCCCCATGTCATAATCAAATGGATCATGTTAGCTCAAAGAGGAGAACTTTGTTGTGATCTTTTAAACTGTGTAAAAAAAATAAAAATAAAGAAACCCAACCGGGCAGGAACCTAAATTCTGAGACCCAATGTAACGTAGGAACACCAAGGAACGTAGACTTCTTCAGTTTTATTTCTTGGCAAGGGGTATTTGCAGTTTCACAGTTATTTTGTAACATCCAAGTCTTCACTGATTAGAAGATCAAAACTTTTTGAAGTTTGAAATAATAGGTGTCCCATTTGGCAGGGTTATTTCGTAGTTAACTGCCGGGAATTTACTGCACTTCCCAAAGTCTCAAAATACCCACAAATTACAATGATCTTACCAATCACAGCAAACTGAACTTTGTTCTTTCATTGTTAAAAATGTATTTTCTTGCTATTTCCAGTCCTCCGCAGGTGGCTTAAGTAAGCCTCACTCCATATATAGGACTTGTTTAGTGTTGGCCATCTTTGGTCTTTCTCTGGGTATTCATGCACCGTGGGTGCACAGTATAGGTTCTCCTATGGTTTAGAGAAATGCATCCCATTCATCAAAAGGCAGCTACATCACATGATTTTCTGTTCATGAAATCAGCTTGAAGCCATGCAGTTTTTCTGTTATTGATGGCTAACACTAAGGTGTGTGAAATTTATGTGAAATTTCATGTCCTGTCCCTGCTCTAGTAGTTGTCATCCATGTAGATAAGAACGTCTTATTTCCTAGTGTTAAGAGAGTTCTCCATTAGCTCAGGAGATCACCCTGTCTCCGCTGGTGCCAGAGGTTCTGGGTTTGAGACCCAAAGGCAATGCTGTGCTCTTCTTGGAGCAATCATGCACAGATTTCCCTGTCCAGCTTCTACTCAGCTCAGACTCCTCTCTGCAAGCACTCTGCTCTCAGCATCTTCCAGTTTTTATCTGTTGCCTTGCTGATGGGAGCTGTTCCTCAGCTGCTGAGAGATGCATCTTCCAATATCCAACTTCCCGCTTTTTAAAGGCGCTAGTGTGTTATGGATAAATATGAGGTGCTTCCACCAAAGCTGAGGTTTGTCTGATCTCTTTTGTTGGCTTCTCCTTCCCTGTTCCATGTTAATTCCGCAGATCCCAGAGGTACCTTCTCCATCACACTGACTGTCACTGAGAAGCTTGCCCACAGTGCCAGGCTGTTGCTTTACACGGTACATCCTCATGGAGAGATCGTGGCTGACAGCACTTGGATACACAGTGACGTGTGCTTCAAAAACAAGGTGAAGCCCTTTGCCTTTCTTATTAAGGGCTGTATCAGCAGGTTCTCTTCTGTCCCTTGGGACTAGTTAGGGAATGACTTCACCAAGAGCCCTGCACTTGGGATGGTCTTTAGGAATGGAAAAAGTACGGATGTGCCCGGGAACGTGAGGAGCTGTCCCTGGAATTGACACTTATGCTCAGACTCAAGCTAAGTTCTAGTGGAGTGTGTAGAGAGAGGTGACTAGGGGCTTATAGAGATGGTGGATTTTTACAGAAGAGGGATTCACAAGGAATCTAGCCGTAGGAGCTTTGCCCCACGTGAGTGCTGGTGAGAGGTGAGATTCAGGTCTATGTGCCAAGTTGATTCTCCTAATTTCTGTGTGGTTGTCTTGGATTTATTCATTTTCAGCTCCAGCTCAAGTTCTCTGAGCAGCAAGGTCTCCCAGGCTCTGAAGTCAGTCTCCACCTTGAAGCTGCTGCCAACTCCTTCTGTGCACTGCGAGCCGTGGATCAGAGCGTCCTCCTCCTTCAGCCTGAGCGAGAGTTATCCGCTGAGAGCGTAAGCCACAGCCCTTCTTTTGACCTAGGGACATCCAGAAAGACATTCCAGTTCCCACCTGTGATCTTTCTGCTGCTGGCTGTGTTCTGTTTTTTCCTTGGAAATAAACATCTCCGGTGATTAAAGAAAGGCCTATGGCAGATGTAAACTTCAAAGCCAGAAATTGATAGTGGAACATTTACTTTTGGAAAGTGTGGCGGTGTAAGACGTCCTAAAAATAGGCTTAATGTAAATCCTTGAAAGCAGAGCTCCTCTCTGGGGAGCAATTAGGTCAAAATTACGTTTTATTACTCAAATAAGCCTTGGGCTTGGAACAAAAGCTGTAGATGTGAGTTAGTATCTTTTTGGTCTTCAGCCTCCTCTCTGTGTAACTCAGGAGTATGTCTCCATGCTTTCTGCTCAAGCTCGCCCCACAGAGCTGTTGCAGCTCAGGAGGAGGGAGGTAGAGTCCAGTGCTTCTCCTGGATCACCAGCTGAAGTGCTTATAAATCTCTAGACAGGCATCACTAGGCAAACCCACCAGTCTATAGGCTGCTCAGGAGCCACCATAAGCTTGGAATATGTGTGATTTCACACCTGCCTGTGACCTTCCTTGTGTTGACATTAGTCCTTCTCGCCTCCCAGGTGTACTACAGACTTCGTGTGTGGGATTTATATGGCTATTACTACAAGGGGCTCAACCTGGAAGACGACAAGCCAGAGGAATGTACTCCAGTCAGAACCACCTTTTTTGATGGCTTGTACTATGAACCCGTGAATGTCAGCCGTGATGGCGATGCCTACAAGGTTTTCAGGGTATGTGCTCTGTGTGGTTCTTTAGGTGGGAGGTATTTGGGAAGAATTCAGGCACGGTGGCAGTAAACTTTGACAGGTGGTGCTTCTTTCTGCTAAGAGGAGGCAGCTGATGCCTGGAACAGCCTAAAGTCTCCAGTCACCCAGTTTCTGGCTGTTGGTCCCCATCTCTTACTCAGGAAGACTGAGAAGCGCTGTTAGATATATTTGCTGGGATCCGGCCCATGCTTCAGTAGACATCTCCTAAGCAGGACCATGGCCTTGGCTCATGAACCTCAGGTGTTCCTAGTGAAGATGTGAGTCCATGATGCAGGCCACCTGATTGCTCACCTCCACCCCCACTGGTCTTATGGCCTAAGACCTAATATAAGCCCCATCATTACTGCTCTTCACAGAACACCAGGTGTCACTGCTCCGTGAGAAAGACACCGAGGCTGGAGAGGAAGATTGAGTTGTGACATTCAGGGTCCAAAGGGTGGGATGGGAGGAGAGAGATGAGGTGTGATAACTCAGGTGGGAGAAGTGACATGCTAGTGGTGGCTAGTGCATGGTCTGAATGACATGATTGATTCTTTCACGTTCAGGATATGGGCCTGAAGGTTTTCACCAACTCTGTGCTGCGGAAGCCGGTTCTGTGCAATGAGGGCAAATCAGATACGGAAGATCATCCGGCCTATTTTCACCATGGTGGTGGCTATGACGCAGGTAAAAGAAAGTTCTTACTGTATTTCCAGTCTCGGTCTGCCTGGTCTTCTGTTGCCTGTGTAAAATAACCACCAGCATGTTGTTTTTTTGGGGGGATAGGCCTATGTGTCCCAGTTTGCCTCCAGTATCTCTTTCTGACAGTTTTTTCATTCGAGTCAGTTCTCTCTCACTGAAGTACAGGGTGCGTATAGAAAAGACAGGTAATACTGGGATGGTGCTTCTTTCATAAACTGGTATTAGTTTTTCAGGGCTCTTCAGGTCAGAGCCTTTCATCAAATCACAGTTCAATTAAATATTTACAAGGAAATGCCGAAAAACCGTGGCAATTCCCAATGTTTAAGAATTCACAGAGCACTTAACGAAGTTAGCACCTAGTCTCCAAAGCACTTGGTAGATCAGCAGGAGTTATGATTATCTTTCTCCAAGCCAGGTGGTTCAGCCAAAGAGCAAAAGTAACAGTCATGGATTGCCTCAAGGGAAATAGCAAGGAAAAAGCTTTTCCTCGGGAGAGTTGTGTTGCACTAGAAGAGGTTCTCCAGGAGGTTTTGGAATCTCCATTGCTGCAAGTTTTCAAATCTGAGCTGGACGAGACCCTTGAGCAACAACATGATCTGGCTTTGAAGTTAGTCCTGCTTTACAGAGATTGGTCTAGAAAACTCCAGAGTTCTAACCTCCAGAGCTTCCTCCCAACCTAGATTTTTTTCAATGATTCTGATGTTATGATTTTAATTCCAGTAAAACAAGAAAGTATTGTTAGTTCCATGATGAGGCTAGGAAATCTGAGGTACCTCCATGCTAAATGAGTTGTTGGACATCACAAGTGAGTCCATGGCTAAACTGGAAAGAGGACTTTGGTTCCTAATATCAGACTTGTAGTTTGAATATGTGAACAAAGGTAGTTTTCCAGTGGACTGGATATTCAGCTCCAGTTCTAACTACTGAACAATTGAGTTCTTTGGGAAGTTTGTAAAGCTTTACAAGCTTTGGTGACAACACTGGCTACTGTTGCCCATTGGCAAATCAAGGAGAGCTAGTGGTAGGGCACAGGGAATGTACCTTTCTAACTGGATAACGAGACCTGTCAACATGAAATAAAGTGACATATCCTGTGAAACAGCTAAATTAGATAGTACTTTCAAATGGGAAAAGAGGATAGATAAGACACAGTTTCTTTCTGTACCCTATATCCATTAGAATTTTCCTTTTTTATGGGATAAAGAATGGAAAAATGTGCAAATGAAATACTTAGTGTTCATTAATGATGCTGAGCATGTCTGACAGCAGTTCTGGCCTGACCTCTCTGATATTATACTTTGACCATACACAATCTTCTAGATGAGTCAAGGATTCTTGGTGGGAGCCCTGTCAACACTGTTCGGAAGTTCTTCCCCGAGACCTGGATTTGGGATCTGGTTCAAACTGAGTGAGTATTTTGTCTTTGATTTCTTACCTCTCGTGTGGATTTTTGAGTTGACACACGTTGCTGAAATGAATTCTGGGAAGAAGCCATGGAACATAATATCTGCTTTGTAGATGAGGGTCTCCTGCCTGCCCTGTGAGCAACATGTGCTCTGCCCCCGATCCTTCGTATCGGGAGAAAGAGTACGGGCTAAGCGTAAAATAAGAGCGTTTTGTTTAGGAGAGAGCAGGAGCAAAACTTGTACATTTTAATGATATTTTTAACACAGCAGCAGAAAACTTGAGTTATTTTGTTTTTCTTCCAGGTTATCATAGCATTGCGCAGAGAATATTTTCATCTGAACTATGCATCTAGATATTTAGGTCTGCTCTAGAACATTCATCTGAATTTATTGGTTCTAATCTGTATGTTTGGGCACGGTGGTATTTAAACAAATGGTATTTCTTAATTAAAAGAAGCAGAGTATTCTTCCAAATGCTTTTTAACATGTAGTTCACCACCATCTTCATCTTTACTTCCAGCTTTATAATATTTTTTTAAATACGGAGAGAGATCTTGCAGAGAGCGAGAGGAAAACAGAAGTACTAACTCAAGCAGGGAGCCTGTTCTATAGCATGGCTTGAACATGCCAAAGATGATTTCTCATTCTGTTATTCTTATTTCCTCAGTTCCAGGGGAGAGGTCGATGTCTTTTACACTATTCCTGACACCATCACAGAATGGAAAGCCAGTGCCTTCTGTGTGCAGGATGATGCTGGGTTTGGCATCTCCTCACCCGTTTCACTGAGAGCATTCCAACCGTTCTTCGTGGATCTCACCTTGCCGTACTCTGTCATTCGAGGGGAAAAATTTAATTTAATAGCCCATGTCTTCAACTACCTCCACAAATGCATCCAGGTACATCAAGTTCCCTTTTACTTTGTAGATGGTTCATCTGTTTCCCAGAGATCCCAGTGTTTTCCTGCATAATACATCAGAAATGCAGAAATTGGTGTCTTACTTATGCTTTAGCCTGACACATTACTCCGTCACCTTCTCTGCGACCCATCTCTGTCATAATGTTAGGAAAACGTGACCAGTGATCACTATGTCTGGTCCACAGAAGATAAGAACCTGCTCCTTATCCCTGTGTAATTTAGTTGTTGTTTTTGCTCGTGAAGGACGAAGTTGAGCAGAGGGTGTGGGTACTGTGCTGTGCAAAACACAGTACATACTGAGTATGGTGCATGTAGCAGTAACTCGTGAGACTTCACTCATGAGCACCAACACCGTGGTATACTTGTGTCAAAACCAGACGCTAACAGTGGGCTGGAAAGAGACAGGTCTGGCACTTCCTCAGAGAAATGCCCCATCCTTCTGACCTGGTGCCATCCACAGATTGAGATGACAAGTAGCTTTTCCAGCAGGTCTCTCTTGCTCTGCAGCCTCACCTTAGGGGCAGCTACTTCATTAGTAACCTTGCTCCTTCGTTCTTGGTCTCAGATCAGTGCCATCCTAGCAAACTCGAGCGACTATAAGGCAGAAATCCTTTCACCAGAAGGTGATACAGCAAGGCTGTGTGCCAATGAAAGAAAGACCTACATTTGGGCTGTTAGCCCCCAGAAACTCGGTAAGTTTGTCTCTTCATCACCTCGATACATCCCTGTTTGGTCTTTCTGCTTCTGTCACTCCCACCCTTGAGTGCAGCATCAGTAATCCACAGGCAGGCGTTTCTGGACAGCTCCATTAATTGCTCCCCGAATTTAGTATTGGACCTCTGCTAAAGTTCCTGTAGACACACTGAATGAACCGTGAACTGTTCTGGTGCTTTATCTCCTCTGATTTCTGGTAGTCCATTTCCTGCCCATTTTAGGAAGAGCTCTTCACTTGCCACATGATGTATGGAATACATAAATCCATGGGTGGGATTTCATGGGTCTGATCTTTCAGCTGACAGTTTTGTACCTAACCAGCTGTATTCAGTAAGAATAAAATTTGCTAATAATTTTGGACTGGATTATCAATGGGCAAAGAGGACATGGCTCCTCCCCAATTTTACACCTGTGTTAACTCACACTGCCTTCAAATCAACATTGTCTTGGAAAAGGCAGTTACAATGGCTTGCATGTGTAAGGGCCCCTAAAGCTGATGTACAAAACACTTAGAATTAGCAAAGATTCTTCTCAAAATGAACCACGAATTAGCCTTTTCTTCAAAAGGTTGTTTTAAAAACCCTGTAGTCAATATGACTGATTCCTTTCAAAGTCACTGAGAAAGATGCCAAGTTATAGTGACGTGAAAACTGGATACGTGGCGAAATAATACTGTGGAGCTGAATACGAGAAAGCTGCTGTCTCTCCCCGGTGACTCTGATGGGAATGCATTTTGTTCCAAGTGAAAAACTCCTTTGGATTTCCAGTTTGCAATGCTTGGAGGGGTGAAGCAAGTAACACCTGCAAAGCTGCACTGAGGCTGCTCCTCTGTCTTGTCCCTCAGTTACCAAACTCCATCCGAAGGGAAGAGGCAGCAGAGCTGTTACTGCTGGAACACTGTCCTAGGTCAGTGAAAGCTCAGCTCAAGGCTAAGAAGAGGTGGAAACTGGTAGTGAGCACTGTCAGTTCAGCACAGTGCTGCAGCACAGATGCACAGCCAGCATCACCCGTATTTCGTTCCTCACGCTAGGTCCCCAGGCAGCCACACCTTGCCACTAGCAGATAGACGTGGAGCCTTCATGAGATTGGTTTCTACTGAGCTTCCTTCAGAGAGAATACATCTCTCGGCAGTCTATCAGGCTAGAATAAGCAGTGAACACCTGAGGTAACTGTAGACATTGAAGTTAAATTCATTTTCTTGGGCTGATGGGTGTCTTTCCAGGTGAGGTGAAATTCACAATTACTGCTGAGGCCAAACTGGGTACCACAGGTACTGGAAACAGCACATCCCCAGAAGAGGAGACGATTCGCACGGACACCCTGATCCAAACCCTACTCGTTGAGGTACGGTGAGAAATGTGCATGTGCTTTCTGCTGTGTGGAAACTGCAGTTCCTGTAGCTGTGGGTCAGAAGCAGTTGGCTAGTGGAAGGAGGCAGGGCAGCTGACACAGATGGAGCTGTGTACAGTAGGCTTCTCCACGTGAACATGGGAGTGTAAATCACAATGATCAGTGGCATCCACTGTCCTCCTGCCATTGTGTGCTTCCTGGAACCATGAGCATGCCTGCCCTGACACCCATGGATGTCAGTGGAGATGTAGCCAGAAGGAAGGAGATTCTGTACCTTACGTGTAAGCGCCGTTTGCCTGTGACTAGGGGGTGGAGAGCAGATATAAAAGGAAAAGGATTAATCTTGAGCATCATAAAGCAGCAGCCACATAGAATTAGTTGGACAGAGTCCCTCTCAAAGGCTGGAAATGTCTATTTGATAACTGCTTTCTAAGAAGAAGGGTGCTCTAGACAGAGAGTTGGGTAAAAGAGAGAGGGAGCCATGGACCAGGAGATAGTCTAGTGGAGACAGGGTAGGACTGGGTACCAGAGGTGCACTGTCTGGATAGCCACATCCACATACTGTTTTAGACCATTAAATTGTCACAGTTTCATGGTGATGTTCTACACTTTTTTTTCCTCTTCCTGACCACTTCCTTGCAATCAAACAGCCTGAAGGTATCAAAAAAGAATTGACTCAGAGCTCTCTCGTCTGCACGAAAGGTAAGGCACGTTCATTTGTTCATTCCAGGGAGTTCGGGGACCTGCCTCACTCTCTTGTAGGTTTTGTCCTACAAAACCAGAGACCCTTCCAGGGGAGGAAAGAGGTGCTGGGCTACACTTCAGGATTTTCAGAGATACTTTTGACTCATTGGGCAATTCTCTGCAGCATTTTTTTTTTACCCAGACTGTAGATCGTAGCAGTCCCTGTAGCAATGCTTAGGAAGTGAAGACTTCTGGAAAAAAAAAATGCTGTTAATGATTCTTGTTGTTACATTTTCTCATCAGGCATAACGACTTCTGAACCAGTCTCTCTCAGCCTGCCAAGAAACATAGTGCAGGGATCAGCCAGAGCTTATTTTTCTGTCATTGGTAAGTTTGGCACTTAGATTAAAACCAAAACTAAATAGTATTTTTCTTGTGCTGTGCCAAGTGCCACCGTGTATACATAGGCAAAACTAATGCACAGTTGAGAAGATGCTTAATCTTAATTTTAGAGAAAATGTTTTCTACTTTGCAAAACGGCAATGAAAGACAAAAGTTGCTCGGAGTTCTCCCTTATTATATCAAAAGAGGACAAAATAGTCAAATTATTTCAATTTATGTTGTATTTCAGATTATACTGAATTAGCATATCCTGTGCTGCAGAGTAAAACAGTTAATTCAGTTGAATGTAAGATGAAGCAGACTTCTTGGAAAAAATTTATTTTGGTGTCTGGGAAAGAAGACTTCAGAACTTTGCTGACTGTATAATTTCAAATTTATGGTTTTGTGTAATGAAGAATATTTGTCTGTTTATAACTTCCCAGAGAAAAAGACTTTCAGGTCCCAGTCAACTCTACTAATCTTAAGGTCCCTACTAAGACTGACAGTTCTCTTCAGTGGACATTTTTTGCAGTTCTGAACTCAGATTGCTCTCTAAACACAATTGTTTTGGATGTCTGGGTCAGCGAGAGCTGTGCTGATACTGTGCAGTACAGCCTCTGTAGCCCACCAGCACCATACCCCATACCTCCTTCTCTCACGTACGCACGAAACAAGCAGGGGGCTGTAAAGGGCAGGGAAGCCTCATCCTTCTAAGCCTCCATAGCTGTTTCTCAGAACCCATGCCAGCTACTATTGATACTCATATTTTTCTCAAATTCGCCATTTCTCCCAGGTGTCCAGCATCAAAATAAAAAAAAAAAAAATGAAAATCGGGTATTTCAGCATTTCCTCTAAGCTTTGTGTCTTTGGTTACTGTGATTGCTCTATATTGGTCATTGCCCTTGGGTTCCTAATAATGTAATATAAAGCCATGTATAATACTGTGTAATAAAAACGTGTTTGAACTGAACTAACTCCTTGTGTCTTTCGTTCTCCAGGAGACATTTTGGGTACAGCCCTGAGGAACATGGAGAACCTCCTCCACATGCCTTATGGCTGCGGAGAACAGAACATGGCCTTGTTCACACCCAACATCTACGCCCTGGATTATCTGAACAAGACTGGGCAGCTGACTGAAGAGATTAGAGTCAAGGGTACTGGATATTTATCCTCAGGTGAGGGGTTTTCACCTTCTTCCGTCTAATATTGTGACTGTGTGCATCGGACTCCGAAGCTCTGCATGGTGAACACTGATCTCTGAGTTCCAGCACCACGTTGATGGCACAGGAGTAGGCAGTGCCAGCACCCCAGAGCAGCATGTCCTGCTTCCAGGAGCAAAAGCAGCTAGTCTTCGTAGTGGCTGATGTTATTCACCAAAAATACGTTACTTAATGTTAAATCCAAGTCTTACTGCTTCCGTTGAATTAACAGCAGAACTAGTACTTTTCTGTGATTAGAAAATATGTCGTCTTTATTGTGTTTTCAGGGTACCAAAAACAGCTATCTTACAAACACCGGGATGGATCCTACAGCTCCTTTGGGACACGAGATAGGGAAGGGAGTGTATGGTAAGTGATGACACCTTCTATTTCTCTGGCACAGAATCTTCAGGCTTTGAAAAATGATCAAAGTATTAAGTGATTCGTGTTTTTAGCAGGCTAAATGGCCATAGCTCAGTTAATTTGGATCCCCTAGTACAGGAGAGATTAGTAAACTGGAGAGAGTGCAACAAAGGGGTGATAAGATGATTGGGGACTGGAGTACATAATGTTCAAGGGGAGGCTGAAGAAACTGTTGGTTCAGCCTGTAGAAGAGGGTGCTAATGGGGACCCTAGGTAAAGCTCTCTCCTCCCTAGATGGGGACGGTAGAAAAGACAAGAGTGAGACTCTTGCCAGGAGTGCACAGAGCAAAGACAGGAGTTTGTCCTTATTCAAGTTGCAACAGGGAAAACTCCAACTGGGTAGAAGGGAAAAAAAAAAAAGAATTTTCCCCGGGAGAAGGCTGCAACACTGAGACAAATGACCAGAGAGGACGTGGATATCTCTACCCCTGGAGAGTTTCACAACATGACCAGACAAGAGACTGAGCAACCTGACTGGGCTTTAAAGCTGGTTGTAGTTTAAGCAGGTGTTGGACTGGAGACCTCCAGAGGTCCCTTCCCACCTAGTTTATTTCATAATTCTATTAATTAAGATTAGAAACTGCTATCATCAAGCTGTGTCTGTACTTTACCCCTGCTCTGACAGAATGGTTTCAGCACAGTAATGGGGAAGACTCAGGTCAGTTAATATCAGGATTTTAACTCTCTTATTTATTTAAAACTTAGAAAACTTGTTTCTGTTAGCTCAGACGTTACGGAGTCCATTTTATGTCACTTTCTATGCATATCCAGTGGCTGGTAAACCTCCTTGGTCTTGGTGACACCTCACCTGCTTTCTGTTTCTGGTGGTCCTGCAGGCTCACCGCCTTCGTGTACAAGTCGTTTGCACAAGCCACACGCTACATCTACATTGACGACAATGTCCAGTCTCAAGCTTTAATCTGGCTGGCAAGCAAGCAGAAGTCAGATGGCTGCTTTGAAAATGCTGGGTCACACTTCAACAATGCTTTGAAGGTAACCGAGATAAGTATAGCCCCAAACTTTCAGTCCTGCCCTTGGAATTTGTTTGGATCATTTCTGCCAGACGCAAGCTTGTCACCACTCCCTTACTCTTCCTCGTACTGTTCTCTTGTGCCTCTCTGGTTCAAACAGGGCATGCTACTTACCTCTGCTATTGATGATGAGGTAGAAACAAGCAGAACTTTGAGACAAAAGTCTCAGGCTTTATTTTGCACCACTGCCTTATGTGTTCAGCCACAGGCTATAATGTGCTTTGCTGCATGTGTGCAAGAGCCAAGAAAATGCATGACATAATTTTGGCTTTGTCCTGAGTGAACTTGAGCTTTCTTGTTGCTGTGCACACAGGGAGACAGATTACTTCTGATCTCAAATCTAACTGGTATCAGGACTACGAATTAATTAATATTTGGCATCTATACTGACCTGTTCTTTGCTTTTTTTTTTTCTTCAGGATGGAGAAGGTGAATACTCACTCACAGCCTACGTTGTGGCGGCGTTGCTGGAGGCTGGACACTCTGCTGCGGTAGGTGTTTGATGCTCCTGTGTTCTGTTATCCAGTCAGCCATTTGTCAAACAGTGCACAAGTCCAAGTCCTCACATCTGTACTCTTCAACAATGTGCTAAATACTGATTGTAGGGACAGTAGGGACAGCTGAAGAAGTCTGTTTCCAGAACCCTGCAGTTGCT